AGTGACATATTTACCCCCAGGTCTTTAAAGTGTTCCTTTCATTCTATTAGATGATTCTCTTGGGTTATGTATGAAGTGTCCCTTTTGAGTCCATATCTAAGGAAGTGGAACTTATCACTACTGAACGTCATGCTGTCCACCGTCTACTGGAAAACCCTGATTATATCTTCGTGTAAATTTTAAATGTCTTCTACAGAAGCAATTTTCATACATATTTTGGTATCCGCAAACGATAATCCAAAACTACGGCTAATGTTTTTATCTATGCTATGAGGATTAAGTAACAGAGGCGCTAGGACCGTACCTTAGGGTAAGGAGTCTTTTACCTCGCTAATGCTGGATTTGGCTCTGTTGACTATTATTATCTGTGTTCTGTCAGTAGTTGAATATTCATTTGCCTATTTTCCCTGTTATGACTATATACTGGAGGGAATGTTTTCAAATCTGCACACTGAAATTAATTCTTACCTGAGCAGGAGGGCTCAGGAGACGGTGCGAAATACTTCCAATTAAAAGCAGAAACTGTATGAGGAGAAATTTCCAATAAATTCCTCCTTACTTCCCTTTTTTTTATGTTATTACTTTCCTAAAAACTTAAAACGAATACTTACCGGGTCGTTGAGGATTTTCATGTAAATGTTGATGGCCCTGACACCAGGGATGCAATACTGGACGCGGATGCTGTGGCCGCGCAGCTTGTAGTTGTTGAGGGAGATCTGAGTCTCTTCTGCGTCTTCTGAGTCAATATACTCCACTAGACCCCAGTCCTGCAGCGCCCCATTGCGCATAGCGATCTGTGGCATGCACACCAGCCAAAGGAAAATACAAAAACTGATATTAAAGACTTCAAAGGCACAATGGAGAATATTCAAATTCAAACAACCTAGTTTTAATTATTCAAAAGCTTAGTAATGAGGAATAGCCGATACTATTGGTACGTTGGCTTGTTGCAGACTCCTCCCTCTGACTCTCCAGGCTACCCACCCCTTGGGGCCTGGACCTTCATTTAATTTGACTTAGGGCAGGTTTTATTTTGGTGAATATAACTGCAAGTTATAACCCTCACCCTTAGTGCCCGGAGCCCCTACTAACCTGGCAGTATGGCGGATTGGTGACTTTACTAAAGACTCTTCTGAACTCGCCCATGTCCCTATAGTCCTTTGGAAGGTGGTCAACGTAGAGGCAGGTGGAGTGGAGGGAGGCAAAGGTGACGTGACTGGGATCAAGCCAGTCGCAGACCAACACTGTGTCTCGTAGTTCCCGTCCATCCAGCACTGATTTGGCCTGCAGTGCCACCTCCTTTGTCACGTATTCCATGAAGCCGTAGCCCTTGCTCTCTCCTGCATACCAATTCATAGTGTTTTAATGCAATGTTATTATTATACTAAGAAATATTTTAGTTAAATGTATATATAAATTAATGGGAATGCTTCAAAGTACTTTCAAAGTATATCTCTAGGGTTTGGTCCCAAATGTATGTACTTGAGAATTTTCAAGAATTTGAAATATAGGAGTAAGTGTAAGATAAACTCAGAAAAGCAGGGGTGGAATATGCACAGTAAGAGAACGGTGTCAATATCCGTGGCCCACGATTCTTCAACCTGCTGTGAGCAGATATCAAAAACAATGTTTTAGTCATCGTAGAGGTCTTCAAAAGCAAACCGTACCACTACCTCTGCAAAAGTCTATTTTAGTTTAATGAGAAAGTGCTAAACCCGTAATGGTCATTTAGCACCCGGGAAATGGGAGGTATTCAAATTCGCTTCAAGGAGAGTCTAGGTCCAGTTTTTTGGATGAAGCTCCACTCATCAGCATCAACACACTTCCCATGAGGGGTCTCAGTGCCAGATCAACCACGCTGTTATACATATGTGAGCCAGGAGGCCGCCAACAGAAACAGTCTGGTTGAACAAGTAATCGAGAGGAAAGACTGATCTCAGGACCATCTGCGAAGATAAAAAAACAAAACTCGAAACACGTCATAGGAGTTATGACTAGTGCATACAAATAGCTACAAATGAATGACTAATTTTAATATTCATTCCGACCTGAAAAAGGTTACAGTAAGTCAACGACAGAAGCAACGGAATGATAGTAACATCAAAATCTTCGAAAGAGTTCAAAGGAAGCACTCTAAGACTCTAAGACACTCCAGCAGCACACTGCCACCCATTGCAATTGCTGAACCACGTCATTCCTTTGGACGCACTGCAAGACGAGCAAAATGACAAAATTTTGACAAGTGTGATTATATTTAGCGCACTAAAGGTTTTCAAACAATGGAAAAATAGAGGAATTTTTAACTTAAGAAACCAAAGCTATTAACTAAAAGAGGAAAACGAGAGGCAACCACATTGAATCCATACTCTTTAATGTCTTATATGATATTGTTAATAAAAAGTACTGTACCAGCCCTTGCGGTGCATACAAAGACTGTGGATCCTACGTCGAATTGCTATTAGTAAGTGCCAACACAGCAGAGGTGAGGAGGTTGCTAAATGAACTTAAGAAAAATAATGGGATCAGATAACATATCTCCATGGATGCTGAGAAAAGGAGTAGAACCTCCGTGACTCAGTAGATAAGGTATTCAGCCTCTCTCCAATGAGAGCAGACGCCCAAAAAATTGGAAAAATTCAAATGTATATACAGTATATAAAAAAGGGGACAGACAAGAGGCACTGAACTATAGGCCAAATGTGTTCAAATAAGTGGCTTCAAGAGTTCAACCCAAACAAATGCAAGGTTATGTGAGCTAGAGGAGGTGACAGAGTATGAGATGCTATCAAAAAGTTCCTGAACTGCCACGAAGAAAAAATATAAGCTTAACTAATCACCTAGATTAAGTTGTCTCCCTCGAAGTACTCTCCTTCGGAGGTTTAACACTCATCCCTTATTCCTAACGGCCTCTAGCACGGCCTGCGATTGTGATAGAATCTCCTCCATGTCCTTAAAACACTGATGCTTGGGTGTTATTTTTTTGGGGAGGGGGGGGGGAAGAGAAAGGGGTCACTGGAGGCTAGATCTGGGGAGTAGGGAGCGTGGGGGACGACCAACATGTTCTTTTGGGCCAGAAAACTATGGTTTTTCTGGTCTTCAGTCAGCAAGTGGGGGCACAAATTTAGCAGTCATTCGCCTCGTGTTCAAATTCTCAGTCAAAATGCTTTGATACGACACATAAGAAATTCCCACAGCACTTGCAGTGTCCTGGATACTCTGACGACGATCTTCCTGAATAAGCTTCCTCACTTTTTCAGTGTTGGCGTCTGTTTTTGACGTTGATGGACTACCAGTGTTTTCATCCTCAAATGACATTCGCTGTACACTGTACGACCAATTGCTTAATCGGCAAATGCCTCAGCAAGTATTTGGCAACGAAACATTTACCAAACTTGAAACAAAATTTTACTTGTACACACACACACACACACACAACACACACACACACACACACACACACACACACACACACACACACACACACACACACACACACACACACACACACACACACACACGAACAAATCAAGTGTCTATCGACAAATGCCTTTGACAACTAGTAACTACTACACTGTTCTGTCTTTTAAAGATTCCATTTTGTTACACAAATTAGTGCAACATCGCATCGACACGGAAAGACTAATCGCACTGAAACTCGCCAAGTTACTTTACAAAGTAGTGTACTAGCAGCGTGATCTGTGCAGCTGCCATATTTCACCCAGGAAGCGTGCAAAAATTCGAGCCTGGAACTTTTTGATAGCACCTCGTACATCAGGGGGCAGAGAGATACTGCAAATATCAGAGCGAAACGGACCTGCGATAAATATAACACCAAGCATATCGCCAGAATTACATACAAACTAAATAACGTGAGCGGCATATGCAAGATTAACAAACCTTAAAATAACATTTATTGAAGAATGAGTCGTTCAGAACTCTTTATAAAACCTATGATAGGCCAATCATTATGTGCAGCCCCAGCAGAGAGCCCACACTTGGTCAAGAACGTGCAGAAGCTCGAATAGGGCCATAGGTTTGCAACAAGACTAGTACCAGAACTGAGGAAAGGACGGAGAGGATGACAAGGAGAGAGACAATTTCCACAAACTCTTAAGAGTTGATATAGTAGATAGGGAGTTGTTTTAATTAAGAGGACCAGGATCGAGGGTGCACAGGTAGAAGCTTAAGACATACATGAGCCGAAGGGATGTAAGGAAATATTTCTTTAGTCTCAAGGTGGTTGAAATGCGGAATGATTTGGGTGAGGAAGTGGTGGAGGTAAACTCAATGCTTGCTTGAAAAGTAGATATGATCAGGCTTAAAAGGCCAGAAATCAGGGATGCCGATTAAAGTGTTTTAGGAGGCAGAGGCAGAAGCTGAGTATCAATCTCTGCAAACATAAATCTGTGAGTACACACACACACACACACACACACACACACACACACACACACACACACACACACAAAGGCGAAGTGTCGATCGACAAGTACCTTTGACAAATGTTAAACACAGGAGCTTTGAATCGACCCCTGCAACCACATATATGAGAGTACACATCCACCCCTCACACCTGCAGGTGAGGTGTTACACTCGCCATAAGCACATAGAGGCCACACAGTTATGTCAATGCATTGTTTAAGCTTAAAAACAAAAATTTAGTTTTGCGCTATAAATTATTTTTTTTTTGTTAAATTCCAGGCCAAAAAAAATGCATACAAAAAAAAAAGACACTTTTACCACCTAGCAATACATTTTCAAATTAAATAAAAACTGATATTAAAAATTCTCGCTAATTTAAAAGACACTTCTCTCTCTGGTCTGTTTTAAAAACAATATGGAACTGCCTGCTCTTTTTAACGAGGTAAAAAAAATAAAGGGCAATATAGAAGTTGAGGTGTCATCCCGGTGAGAGAGCGAGCCAGAGGGCAGGAGGGAGGGAAGAACAGCCACTCTAACAATGTTACCGACGACTTTCATAACTCACTAAACCCCGTGGCCTTATTTGCATATTCAAAATGGGAGGCAGAGCTCTGGAAATACTAAGTTATACCTCACGACACTTTTACCAACGCCAACACCGACACCAGTGAGAGATATAGAAAGGAAGGAGAGCAAGCGAGTGAGACGACGAAGTCTTGACTCATGATTTGTACCGACTCGACAGGTCTCGGCTCCTGGCCCCACCTCTTAACCTACAATTAACTAACATTACTGATTTCTAGCCTCTTTGGCTACACAGATTTATAAGGCTGTTTAAAATGCGAGAACCAGATGGAAGTTAAAAACATAGATGTCTCTCAAGGATGTTTCGAAATACTTTCAGGATACTAGGGAAGTGGAAGTGAATGTGCAACTGGGGAAGGAAAACTCCATACATAGTTTTAAGAACAGATATATAGGGCTCAAGATCAGAAAAACCCGCATAGCGGGTTGATGAAGGTTGAGAAGCTGGAGCGAAATTGGCGACCACACGGTCCGGTAGGGCCAGGACTAACCACACTAGGCCACAGATAATCACAGGGCAAGCCCCCCAAGGCTGTATTCAATCAACGCAAACACAACTACTGGTGGTATTTTTTTTATCAGGGGAAAATATATCTTGATGCGGGTGTTGGTCATATTATCTACTCAGTGGCTAAGCAATGGCTGGCGTACTAGATGTAGGGATTCACTCACTCAAAAAATACAAGCACCACACTGTCATACACACCTCACATTCAATTTACACATACACATCACACACATCCATAAACTTTAATGTAATCCTTACAAAATTTAAAGCAATTCTGTCTCCCTCTAGTCCGAGTGACAGGATTAGGCAAATCAAATTGTTAAGTTCTGTAAAACAGCTCAGAGCTGAGCTGCTCCGTACTAATATTTAGAAAAGTGCCAAACCTGATTATTTTAAGTTTTACGGCAGGAATAACTTCTGAGTGAATGACAGAAAATGCAGTTCCTCTGCAGATAAAAAGAATGCAGAGATTACTCAATTTTCGCAGAATTTAAGAAATCCTTGGAAGCGAGTGAGAGAAAATAGGATACCGTGTTGACCACGTTGGGAAGGTGGGGAGGAGGAGGAGGGAGAGAGAGAAAGTTTCCTAACTTGATTATAGACACTCAACCTGCTCTTCCAATGTCTGAGCTGTTAGCTCGTCCTCTGTCGCAGCCGCAGCTACATAGCTTTACTCCACCATACACTGACTGTAAACCATTTCAGGTTAAATATAATTTAAATATAAGCTAAGCCACACATGACACGCAATTTGGACTCGAGTGGAGGAGTGTGTTATTTTCTATCAAAAGTTTACATTTATTTTGTGAAAGAAGTATACAAATGTACATACAACTATAGATAAATTTAACACATAAATACGGTGATGTAAAACACTATCTCAAGGACAACTTTCTAACAGCACATATGAGAAACTAGCCAATATTCTTAGTGCCAAAAAGCAGGTGGTTACACGCCAGAAGTGAAGAAGATCGGAAACGGAGTATAGTAAAGGAACACAGAGGCTTCAGAGTTTCGGAGACGGATCTTGGGATAAATTTAGTACCGAGTATACTACTAGAGGAGCATATCAACGTAAGAACGGGAATAAGGAATCTTATCGATTTCAGTGGGCACTCTTTATATAAGAGCTGATCTACAGGAAAATTTATAGCTCTACTTTATGACATCAAAGGCTAGAAAGAAAACATGAAAGATAATGAGAAAAAAAAATGAAGACATGTTACGACAGTGGCCAAGAAAGTCACTACTAGAATTCAGTTCTAAGAAGCATAAAGTAATAAGACGATCAAACAGTGTGTTCACCTGGGATAGTCACGGAGGTGGATGATCCCCGAAAAAGACTACAGGTAATATACAGGTAACCTTAAAAATAATTTAGCACATACACAACTTAGGCACATCTTGATTAAGTAGCGCCGGGTGGAACCCACACCGGATCATGCCTCGATTATGCGAAAGAAACATGATTATTAAAAGGTTTGCGATGAAGATGGTACCGAGAAATAAGAAAAAATGGAATAGAAGAGATTTTTAGAACTCAATATGACAAACGTACAAGAAAGGACAGTGGGACACATTATATATCAATATATCGGGAATACCCAGGAAAGCCTAGATGGCAATTAAAGGTGTAGTTGAGCTACAAAAATATTTGGAAATACTTTTTTTCCATCTCAGGGTATAACTATAAAGTCCAGGATTCAGTCAAGTCTATTGATAGCAGTTAAGAGGCAGGACCTGGGGTCATAAATCTACCCCCTCGAAACACTACTAGGTGCGTACACAAAAATTAGATGTAAGAAGTAGAGATGAGCGCAAATAAGAATATTGAACAATAATGTCCCATCCGACGTCTCCTCGCCAGTCTCCTCTTTCCCTTCCCTGAGCAGGTTTGTGGTCATCATAACCCTTCAAGAGATGACCGAAGTGTCCTCCCATAGTGGTTAATACATACAAGACATTATCGCATAACAAACTATCCTCCAATTTTCTAAGTTTATTTTTAAAATGTTTCTATCAGATTTCTAGATTTACGCTGTATAGGTTAGGATTGGTTAGGTTAGACTGTCATACATTTAAAAATTAGTACATTATAACAGTGCCGTAGCGTCACTAAATTCAATAATACATAATTATCGACAATATAAAGGTTTGAAGGGGGAACAGAAAACAGGGACTCAAAGAGCGCACTGAAAAAAAAAAAGGTCGGATAATCACTTTAAGGCTCGAGAATCCATTTCACTGTTAGCAACAGTGAAATACTGTTATTAGGAGAATGGGCTATATAATTACTCTTTCATTCCCTTGTGGCCATGCCACAGTAATATACTGATTTTGATAAGGAAGATGTGGGCTACACGTGAGCTCTTAAAGCTCAACATACCAACAGAGCTGAGTCGGCAAGCATAGTTTGCCAAAACAGCTGAGCGTAAATTTACCGTCGCGGTAATGCCGTGAAAAAGACTAAATATACCTCAATAAGTAGAACAACCACTGTGAGAAAAAGTGAATTTCCAAGCGCTTTCGTGATTTTTCAAATTATCAAGTAACTGTGATAATGTAACTGTTCCTTGATAATATGAGAAATCACGAAAGCGCTTGAAAGTTCTCTGTTTTTTCACAGTAGTTGTTCTGTATATTGTGATATCACTTGTTTACTGTGATCTTACTGCATCATACCACAATAAATTTATTAATTTACGTTAAATAATACTAACTAGTTTAAACTGACGTTACGTGGGATTAAGCTGTTAAATTAATTTAATCTTAGGTCTGGCTGCTAAGGTTGTAAAATATGAATATCTCGCTAATTCACATGTATCAATGAAAAAGATGCAATGTTCGAAAAAAATTTTTTAGGTGGTTCTGCTTTTTTTTTTTTTTGGACGACTAAACGACAGTTATAACATGGATGACCACACACCTGCTGAGGGAAGGGGGAAGTGACGGGGGAAAAGGAGGCCCGGAAGGGGACTTGCTAACTCAATATTCTCAATTTAAGCCACTAGATGGCAGAATTATGAAAAGATTACTGGTGATGGGGGTATCTACCGATTGGGGGAAGGGGGAGGGGCGCGATGTATTCGAGGAAAGGGTGAAAATGGAGGACAGTGGACAGGGAGACAGAACTTGGTTACCCAAGCAAAGTTATGCTCACGGTGTTCCGTTTTCAGCGTTCCGTGTCATATATTTTAAAGATTATGTTGTATTAATGTTGGTAGAATTACCGACAATGTTAAGTAAAAGGACACAAGTGCAACTAATGAGACATTTTATTGTGGCAACGTTTCGCTCTCTAGGAGCTTTGTCAAGCCGACTTGACAAAGTTAGTAATAGGCTGACAAAGCTGCTGGAGAGGGAAACGTTGCCAGAGTAAAATGTCACATTAGTTGCACTTGTGTTCTTTAACTGAAATATTATGTTGGGTGTAGTACATGCTAGCTCCATTCAACACGTTTTCCTTTTATATTGGTTTAGAGTTGTTTTCTCTTGTTCACACTGGTGATGGTAAAAAATCTTCCCTCTCCTATCCTTTTATGATCATGTGATTATCGTGGCTTCTCTGTTATCCTTTCAACTATATTTTCAGTGCCTTTAATCTGATTTTAGGATGCTATTGCAAATTATAGTTTTGGCTTAACATGTGTTATGAACAGTTGTTTCAGCACTTACGCGGCTGTACCTATATAATTCGTAAATTTTTTTCTGCTTTTCTTCTCGTATAGTCATTCCCAAAACTGCGTAGTTCATTTTTTTGGATACTTTCCCTGTTTTTACCCCCCTCGTGTCTTTGTCGTGGCATGGTGTAGAACAGACGGAACTCTAGAACCTAAGTAGGGAGGAAGACTGAGTGGGTTGGCCGTCTGTCTTTGCATGACAAAGATGGCTGACTGACTCACCGAGCTGGGTGGCTTTCAGACTGGCTAGGTCACTCATTGACCGCCTTGATCTGACTGGCTCCGTTTAGACTGCTAAGGTGTGTTTGGATGGCTAGGGTAGTTGACTGACTGTCTAGCTGGATGGATGTACTGAGCAATTCTCAGTTTAGTTGAACTGCTGGCTGGCATGCTAGCTGACTGGTGGTTTGGCTGGTATTGTGGCTGCCAGACTGGCTGACAGTCTGGCTGGCCCAGGTAGTATCTGCTCGACCATCAGCATGAAGGAGGTGCGCCTCGCTAGCCTTATCTTAATGGAGTCCTCAAACTTGTCGCGGACGCCGCCAGCACCAGCACAATTAATGAAGGGGTGACGCAGCTGATAGTATAGCGGCGCTGCACCAGCCTAATGGCTCTTACGCCGCCGCTACAGATAGCACGACGGGAACTCTTAGATAGTACGTATACTGGGTTGGGGACGGACTGAAAGTGGGAGTGACTGAAGGTGGAGGGGTAACTGAGGAGGGGAGGGGACCGAATGCGGGGTGAATACAGGGGAGGGGGGGTAAACGAACAGGACTGGAGAAAAGATAGGAGTGTACCATTAAACGTATTTTGTGAGAACATATTTCATGTGCGTTGACATATAATAACTTCAAATTTCCTTGGAAGGCAATTATTCATTCTTCACACATTTATCCATTTTTCACAACCAAGTAACTTGAAAGGAGAAACTAGACAACGTTTCGGTCTGCCTTCGTTGTGAAAAGTCACTAGACTTTATATTACTTTAAGAAGACCCTAAACGCTTAGATTTTAATCAGTGGATTAGTTCTGAATTGTTCCATCCACTGGATTACGACTTCGTTCTCTCTCACCTGTTTTCTCAGAACGCATGAGGAAGCAGTACGAGACTTCGCCGAGGGAACCCACCAGCCCCGCGAACTCATCTTCTGTACAGTCTGCTGGGAGCCTGGCTACACACAGAAGACCCTCTGTGTTGGAGGGCGAGATGGTGACCTTGTGACCTCTGAGTGTGTGGTGAGTTGACCTGGCCCACGTCTCCAGCACCTCAGGCTCAGCCAGTAACACCCGCGCTGATCCATTTGACAGTTGAAGCTGGATGCTGTGTACCAGATACCCAGATAGCAGCTCCCGCACCTCCTGTGGATGGGAAGAAGACACATAGCTTAATGATATTCAGCATTTGCTAGGAACTGGTGTGAATCTACGTGGTGGAGAATGGGGCACACGTGGTGGTATGTCTGTATACATAGGATATACGGTCGTGTATACATTTGATACAGTGGCCTGAACACTTGGGGATAGGCTGGTCTGGATACATAATACACACTGGTCTGTATACCTGAAGATACAATGGTCTGCGTCCGTGAGAGTATTCTGAAGTGCATGGGGCTACACTAGTCTGGATACAAGAGGAAACAGTGGTCTAAAATATGTGAGATACATTGTGTTCTGTGTATGTGTGTCTACTGATCATTCATCACACCTCTCACATACATGACGTGAGTAAAACATTCATCAGTTTGTTCGAATGAAAAACGATGAGCGGAGGTCAGGCGTCCATTTACTGGTTCATAATCCATTAAGACAAGCAATTAAAATGTTTACACTTTATACAGCGTGGGCCGCCACAACAGTGTAGCTTCATAGTGTCGCCCTGTAGAACGACCAGACGACCACCTACCATAATAGTGTAACTTAGTAATGTCCTGTAATACGACCAGACGAGCACCCACCATAACAGTGTAACTTGGTAGTGTCCTGTAGTACGACCGGAGGAACAACCACCACAACACAGTGAAGCTTGGTAGTGCCGTCCAGTAATACGACCAGACGAGCGCCCTCCACAACACTCAGAATTTCCATATCTAACCTATAATTGTCTAAACTCGTAATACAGCTTGAAATGAGATGGCTGGAATGGATTGTGGCTCTTGAGCCAAGATATAGCATAGTGGTTCTTTCGGCCGGAAAGATCAGGCTGTTTACAGAGTGCCATAGTTTTAGAGATGCCCGCGGGAAGGACCTCTCTGACAATGCCACTCGGGACTATCAATGCACAAAACTCCACTTCATATTTCTTAAATGTTCCGGGATCATCGCCCCCACGACCCAGTCTCAGACTTTGCCATTCTGTCAGCTCCGAAGCTTGAAAAATAAACTTGTCTCAATGACCCACCAAACCAAAAACATTTTATAAACTTTTTATAAAATTATCTGACAACTAAGGCTCTTAATACCCACTTCTCGCTACTGAGAATAAAACAATAAACTTAAACATTAGTACGTAATGTGTCCCCTTTTCACTTAGGTACCTCAAGGTATCTACTAACCACGAACCACTGACACTCCTGGTATTTATTACCATGACATTCCATCTATCTGTTTATGGGTCTAAGCACCATCTGCCAGTTGCTTGAATTGGAGAGAAAATATTACAGGAATAAGTGAGTAGTGCTAGTGGTAGTACATCTGTTGTGAGCCTCCCAACGTCGGTTGTAAGACAGCTGAGGGTAGTTCTAGTGGTAGTGTGCTTGTTGTGAACCTCCCAACGTCGAGTGTAAGGTAGTTGAGAATAGTGGTAGTGTGCTTGTTGTGAGCCTCCCAACGTCGAGTGTAAGGTAGTTGAGGATAGTGGTAGTGTGCTTGCTGTGAGCCTCCCAACGTCGAGTGTAAGGTAGTTGAGGATAGTGGTAGTGTGCTTGTTGTGAGCCTCCTAACGTCGAGTGTAAGGTAGTTGAGGATAGTGGTAGTGTGCTTGTTGTGAGCCTCCCAACGTCGAGTGTAAGGTAGTTGAGGATAGTGGTAGTGTGCTTGTTGTGACCCTCTCAACGTCGAGTGTAAGGTAGTTGAGGATAGTGGTAGTGTGCTTGTTGTGAGCCTCCCAACGTCGAGTGTAAGGTAGTTGAGGATAGTGCTAGTGTGCTTGTTGTGAACCTCCCAACGTTAAGTGTAAGGTAGTTGAGAATAGTGGTAGTGTGCTTGTTGTGAGCCTCCCAACGTCGAGTGTAAGGTAGTTGAGGATAGTGGTAGTGTGCTTGTTGTGAGCCTCCCAACGTCGAGTGTAAGGTAGTTGAGAATAGTGGTAGTGTGCTTGTTGTGAACCTCCCAACGTCAAGTGTAAGGTAGTTGAGAATAGTGGTAGTGTGCTTGTTGTGAGCCTCCCAACGTCGAGTGTAAGGTAGTTGAGGATAGTGGTAGTGTGCTTGTTGTGAGCCCCCAACGTCGAGTGTAAGGTAGTTGAGAATAGTGGTAGTGTGCTTGTTGTGAGCCTCCCAACGTCGAGTGTAAGGTAGTTGAGGATAGTGGTAGTGTGCTTGTTGTGAGCCTCCCAACGTCGAGTGTAAGGTAGTTGAGAATAGTGGTAGTGTGCTTGTTGTGAGCCTCCCAACGTCGAGTGTAAGGTAGTTGAGAATAGTGGTAGTGTGCTTGTTGTGAGCCTCCCAACGTCGAGTGTAAGGTAGTTGAGAATAGTGGTAGTGTGCTTGTTGTGAGCCTCCCAACGTCGAGTGTAAGGTAGTTGAGGATAGTGGTAGTGTGCTTGTTGTGAACCTCCCAACGTCGAGTGTAAGGTAGTTGAGGATAGTGGTAGTGTGCTTGTTGTGAGCCTCCTGGGACTACATGTTGCACCAGCCGCCCTGTCTACACCACCGCCCAACTGTATTTTTCACACGCAAGGGTCAGCAACAACACCTCAGAGTATGTCGCCTGAATATGATACTGAATGTGACTCTTTGTGGCGGTGGTTTGTTTGTTTCTCTCTCTCTCTCTCCTCTCTTTAGTTCTCTCTCTCTCTCCTCTCTTTAGTTCTCTCTCTCTCTCTTTCTCTCACACACAGCTTAAAAGACAACGTGTAAGGCATATAGGAACAGACCAATATACAAGGGCCAGGGACAAGGGAAAACAAACGCGAAACTAAAAATGCAGTTTTTAGTTTCAGTGGCAGAGAATTAGAATTAATTACCTGTAGATGGCTCCAAGGATCACTGGCCCCGGCGGCCCGATCCGATACCAGGTTTCCCTAGAAAAATAAATACATAAGCAGTATAATGTGATCATTTATTGACAACGTTTCGCCCACACATTGGGCTTTATCAAGTCACAAGCAGATCTGTTTGACTTGAGAGAGCCCACTGTGTGGGCGAAACGTTGTCAATAATCACACTATACTGCTTATTTATTTTTCCATTGTGTCAGTATTTTATACCATTTATTTCCACCAGGTTTCCCTAATCAGGATTTTGGTAAAGGCCGTAGGCAGTCCAACGTATGCACTACAGCCAGGCTAATCAATAACTGGCGTGAGGAACATATCAAGTTCTCTCTTAAAGACAACCTGAGATCTGTTGGCAATTTCCCCCTTGTATTTATGGTGTGCAAAAGTCTAGGTCCCTTTACACTTATGAGGAGAGATTGTTTTACCCGTGACCAGTTTCGAGGGGTCTTGCCCCGCCAACCTACCCGAGCCCAGTCTCTCCTGATGGCCGATGGTCAACGAAGCTGTTTGTGCTAATGGCCAGCAGGCCCACATAGTCATCACAATCAGGTTGATCCAGAACTTGTAAAAGAAAGTTTTCTCGGTTTTTGAAAATTTCTGAAAGGTATACACTATACACAGTTTGAAATGTAGGTATGACAGGGTAAAAAAAAGAATCAGGCCACTCGATACAGTTTAAGAACCCTCTACAAATATTATATATATATTATATATATATATATATATATATATAATATATATATATATACTATATATATATATATAATAAATTATATATATATATATATATATATATAATTATATATATATATATATATATAATTATATAATATATATATATATATATATTAATATGAATATATAATTATTAACCTGCAAAAAAGATCTCTGATAGTGTTCACTACGAGTGATAAATAAAATGGCGATGAAATCTTCAAACATGGTGCTCATATAGTGAAAGGTACAGTGTGTCTGAGAGACCGAGGACAGGAGAGTGTGAGGAACAAGATATCAGAATAGACACGTATCTAATCTGAACACAAATAGCTTTTAGATGTGAAAGAGATGGAAGGAAAAATAGGGGTGTCATAAGCAAAGTGAAAGAATACTCTCACCATCCGTGGAACAAAACAAATATAACAAATGTTGCTATGTAGATAGAAGTCCGCAAGAGCAAACATGAAGTTTCTACAAGAGGTACCTGATCAGTCTAGGTGTGATATTTGATCCTGTAGGAAAGCAGAGTAATAGTTTGGCTCTTCAGGTGGGCACTGAAGCAGAAAAACGTTGAAACTGTTTGTGTTAAACACATCTGTTAGACCAATTGCAGATCTATGCAATCAAATGAAGGTTAAGAAGTAAGACGAGGAGCTGGAGCAATACCTCCGCAGTTACAGCTCAGTGTGTACACACCAGACCGTACACACATGATCAAATATCACTACCAGTCTTTCCTGAAATATACCTTTCAGGCAACTTTCCATCTTGGGCCACTCCAAGACAAACAAAATCGTCAAAAATGCAGTTTATTGGCTTATACACTGAATTGTCTGTTTCCACAACTCTCTTCTTCCATAACCCTCAGACCACTGCAGAAAAATGCCGCACGCTCATTGGCGTATTCTTAAGCCAATCGGTGCAAGGCCCGCCAAACTGGCGAAAGGTTGGGGGTAAAAAAAAACGTCGCACACCCATTGGTGTTTGTCAGCCAATCGGACTGAAAGCGATCCCCCAACTCCTCTTTCCCGGGAAAAATACGAACGGAATTGTGGAACCAACTAGAGCCAACTGGACTGGGACGATACATTTCACCAGGGTAAATCTCTCTCTCCGAAGGACAACATCAAACTGTTACAAATTATTCATAAGGGAAAAAGAGAACTCTTCCCCTCTCTTTCTCTTATTAGCCCTGCCCCTTGTTTCCAAATTCCCAATTCTCTCCCCGAAATCTGGACCAAAAATTGGTAGGCAATCGTAGCGTGTGGAGGCTTGAGTAAACAGTGCTTTTTAGGAGCGATGAGCAGTATGTTTGGCGGCGAGGAGGGATGGGGTCTAGGGAAGCCAGGAAAGAAAAATGTGACCTTAGGCAAGCACACAGTGTATGTTAACTTTTCACCCCCACCCACCCCTCCTGTGTTATGCTGCTGGTGTATTTGCCATTACAGACTCGGGAAGAAAAGGAAGATAGAAGGGAAATGGGAAGGGAGGAAAGACAAAAGGATGAAAAGCTGGAAAATTAAGGGGAGGACACGTAGTGAAGGCGTGGGTAGGGAAAAGTGAGAAATGGCAAGATGGCAGAGGTGATTGTAGGGAAAATGGAGGCAAGAGGATGAGAGGGTGGAATAAAGCGAAAAGGAGGAGAGAAAGTGGGGAATACTTAACCGCTGTTTTTTTTTTTTCTAGAGAGCATCACCCCCGTGGCCCGGTCTCAGACCAATCTTCTTGGATGATGACCAGACTAGTCAGGCTGTTGGTGTTCGGTACATGCTGCCTAATATATGCGCACAGTAGACCGACTGATCAAGAATGGTTTGAACACGCTAACAAAAATTTCTTCAAGAAGGGTGTTGAAAACTGAGTACTTTAACCTTATTGTTTTCTTTGTGCGCTTATTGCAGCAGTTTGAATTCGGGATTATTTTTCACCCTCTACAGAGCTTCCCTCTTTCGTAAAGAGTTATTTCAGATTTGAAACCATTGCCTCCAGGACTTTATAGGTATAGATAAGGAGTAAATTTTGAAGGCTAAAACTGTAATGTTTTAATCATCTGATGCATCATATGAGCCCGTACAGTAATATTTCAGTATACAGAACACAAATGCCTTATACAGCATCACGGTCTTGGTATCTCCATATATTCAAGGTTCTTTAAATCAGTTTCTGATATATCTCGCAGTTTTGATTAATAGCAACATTTTTGTGTTCCTTAAATTATGATTTTCCGACAAGGTAGTCCTTGGCATCCTCCATTCATCTTCCGCTGAATAGTGGTTTGCGTTTTTTTAAGTCTGTTCCAGATTTTACTAAAAATTTTCGATGGCACAGTAACTGAAAATTTGCCTCGTTGAACACCATATTGCTTTGTGTAGGAGGGAAGGGGGAGAGGAAAGGGGAGATAATGGATTCATTAGAATGGATTAAGGGAAGAGGGTGGGGAAAACGTGGATGGCAGAGATGATAGGGAGATGGACAAAAGAAAAGGTGAAAACTGGCAAGACTGAAGGGCACGCAGATAAAGTGGAACACTGGCAATAATAATGAAAACAATATTCTATCAAAGGTAAGTTTTCGCAACCATAGCACTGGGACGTAGACCAAAAATAAGTCCCTCAATGATAATTCAGGAAATGATGAACAAAAAAAGCTTGCGCAAATTATGACTATAAAATACCTTTTGTTGAAAATGAAAGATAAAAACCACATTGGGAGCCATGTCACAATGTTTTAGTGTATTAAGTGTTCCTCCGCAAGCGAGTTTCCTATCGTGCCTTAACGTCAGACGTCCCTTCAGCAGCACCACGTTTTCTATAAACACAATTGACAGAACATGGCAAAAGTTAAGGCCAGGAAGGATATACTTGTATACTTTTCGTCCCACCCCCAACTGGACAAAGTTTGGTTTCCTGAGGCCGGCCGGACATCAACAAGGAGTGATGGGACAAGTTTCACTCGTCGAGTTAGACTCTTGTGTGAATTGTGGCCAGGACTCCTGCTGCTTACAGATTACTCTGTTAACTCTCAAGATTAAATTAGTTTTCACAGACCATTAATAAAACGGAGTTTGCTACGCGCACGAAATTGTGTGACTCGGGAGAGGATTCAGAAAATGAGATAGGCAAATTATGTTAAATTAATTGGTCTTTTTATCTTTGGGTCATTTTCTGATTGTTTTTTTATCAAACAGATGTGCGTATATCTCAGAGTATATAAACCCAGCTTAATTGTTGCTTTAGGGGTTACAGTATTCTTATTAGTACATAGATGAACTGCAGCTTTAATAACCCACGTACATTTGATAGAATTTAAACATAACTAACCGTAGATTTTGCTTTCCTGGAAGGATACCACTGAAAGCATTTATCATAATCAAAGCTAAAAATAATTCTAGCATTTTCGACTTAGAAATATAGCAGCCAAGTATTTTTCTAAAGAAGTCTGCTAAACTCAAAAATAATCATCCCATTCAAAGTCCATCCTGATAAATAAAGCCATATCAAGTCATGCCTTGATAAATTCATCCATACAATACCAAGCCTGATCAATCCTCCTTCCCTATAAATCCAAGCCAGTGTAAGGGATTGGCCTCGGAAGTCGTGGTGCTATGCTCTTACATCTCAGCATCGCTGGAGTTACAATGAAGTGTCAGGTAGTTAACATCACACGTGATTTACCTCAGCTGGAGAAAATGCTATTTGTGTTACCGTCGTGTGCACTCATCTAGTTGTGCCAGCGGGACAATGAATGCTCCACTTAATCTACCTTGACCGACATTTACGAGTTGGTGGTTGCCGAGTCTATGCTGAATGCATGTAATTTTATTTTATTATTTTTTTTTAATGTTTACCTGTCATCTTACATGTTCACGAGACAGTAACAAAAGATTAACAATCCTTTCAGTGTGGGAAACTTTTAACAGGTTTCCATTTCACATGCGTATGGCAGGACGATAGTACCTATCTGAGTGGTTGATGTGCATCAACCTAATGTGTGCGTGCACTGTGTTCTTAAAACTGTGGAGTTTCGCGCCACCACCTCATTTCATTTCTCTACCACACTGAGATTTAAAAAAAAAATTCATGTGTGTGTCCTCAGTCTTTAGTTTTCAACAGTTTTCCCTAGTTCCTTACACTCAAGTCTATCCCTTTCTACCCAATCAATTACTTTTAGAATTTTATACGTCGTGATCATGTCATCCATATCATATCCTCAAGTCAATCCATGATCAGCCTGGCTGTGGTCTATATGTCGGAATTCGTGAGGCTAGCACCAGCAAACTAATTGATCAGGCCATCCACCGGGAGACGTGATCCGGGACCGAACCGTGAAGTTCTTACTAGATAGACGTTCCCAAACTCTCCTGTCCGTTCCTGCAGGGTCGCTAGGTTTTTCTTCTCTACTCTCTTCTTGTAGTTCATTCCTCTCTTGTTCCAAGACTAATCTCACGACTAAACTAATTTTTGCATGTGCTCCATCAAGTATGGCCTGCACGTTGATGTACACACTGATGGGCTTCATTTACGTGCATGCGTGCGTTCGTGCGCATGTACTTATTCAACGCTTCATTATTTAGGTTCAGGACAGCTGTTCAGAAATTTGTTAGTCTCACATTTTCCTTCCCCTTACATTTTTATTATAACTTCAGTGGTTGTGGAGAGGTTTCATATCCAGGAGTCCGACCATGGTTTATCTGATGACCTCCTGGTCAACCAGACTGAGTTGTATTCCATCTCAGATCTCCTTTCTCCTCTTTATTTAGTTTATACAGAGATCGACAAAACGCCTTATCTCTGTTATGTCTTGTGAAGGTAGGGCAGGCTTGCTTTCTACTCCTCTGTATACTCTGTGACGTGCTGCTGACTGTGGATTACATTTTCAGCGTACCTGTCAGCCTTTGGTAAACTGCGACATGGAACTTATAATCAGAGGTGTCTGACGGTGGCTTTCTGGGGGATTCTTTAATGTAGGTCAGTTTTTCTTAACCGATGCAGGAATTTTAATCTTATAATAACAAGTCTTATTTTAGGATTTTTCTCGGATATTTATTTGATAGTAATGACATTTTATTGAATAGAGTGCTGAATTATCATTTTATTCCTACACATTATATTCTAGAGCTTCCTCCTTTCGCTTTTTTTTATATTTCATGTCTTCGGGTAGGACTCCGTTAGTCACTGTTCTAGTCACTCTTTCATTCCTGTCTAGACTCTCCTTGAGTTTCACCCCAGGGCCTCCAAAAGAAATATTGCAAGACGGAATAAGACATTTTTTAGGGCTCCTGGGGGCAGGCTGAGGCCTCCCAGAGGGGGATGCTTTTTTGTCTGCAAAATTTCTAATAACACTATCAAAATCAGTTTCTCTGGCAATGTCTGATTGAATACTCAGTCCTGCTAAATCAAGTCGGGTTTGAGACATAGTAGACCTTAAAACGTTTTTGGTATGTTTGAGCTTGCTAAAGGATGTTTCTCCAGACGTCACTGTAGCTGGAATTGTCAACAGTATTCTCAAAATAACACAAACATTTTGAAATATCTCGCAAAGTTTGTAATAAGTTAATAAATTTAATATTTCTAAAGGTTTCAGTTCCGGTTTTCCAAAATTTGCTTTATATATTAATGGTAAATGTTGCCTTTCTGCCGCAAAATCTTCATCATTAAGGTCCAGGCTCCGGACCAATGAACCGGCAGACCTCCCTCCCCTCTTCCCTTCTCAGAGACCCTGCTTGTCCCAGTGCTTCTCTGTCATCCCACATACTTAATAGTTCTCTTCAGCGTTACGCCATTTCCAGGAAGGTAGGATGAGGAAGAGGCTCTGTCATTTCCTTTATACTCGGTCTTGAAATCTACGGAAATCGTTTACCATATTTTAGTAACAATGTCATCATCGGGAACTCTACGGAGAGGGTGCACCATATTTCAGTAACCACTTGACCATGGACATCATGCGTTACTGTTAGTAATGGGTGAAACAGTAAAGTGGGTGACTGTTGAAGGAGCCTTAAACTATTGAATTATGACTAATATGAGGAATTAGACACGTGCAACAACTGTCTTTATTTGAAGACTTGCCAACTAATGATTTTATCAGTTCAGTACGGAGGTTAATTAAACATGTTGAAACTAAGGACAATAAAAGACGAGGTAATCAGTCTCTCAGTCTTATAACTATACACAAGATATTGGAAGAAGAGGTAATCAGTCCCTCAACCTGGAAAATGGTGCTAAGCACCTTAATCTTGATGAATTTTAAAATAGGCAGGAAGATGGACTCGTATACTGGAGTCAGATGAGGTGCAACAGTAGAAGTTACGTCACTGATGGGCTGGATTCCTCATCTTATTGTATGCAGTTATTGTAATATATATCTTGATTTTCAGAGCGGCCGCAGTCGCCCCCAGTTTTTTGTTCGCGCCGCAAGCTTGCTTTTATTGTCTTTATCTTAATGTTTATACTTTTTACGTTTTTGTATGTTATAATTTGTTACTTTTTAATCTAGCCTAACTTAGAAATTTGTGGCAAACCCTATGTGAAGAATCTATTTAAATGGTCCTTATTATTTTTTTCTTGTGCTTCTCATTCTATTCTAGCTGGAACCAGCAGCAGTAGCAGCAGCAGCAGCAGCTGCTGCTGCTACTGCTGCTGCTACTGCTACTGCTACTGCTGATAGTGGTACTGTTGCTCTTCCTCCAAAAATGACCGTTATATATACGGGTTACTAACTGCATAAACACCACTATACTTCCTCATCCTGCCCACCTTCACATCTCACCCTCTTCCCTTAACCGCTCCTTTATTTCCCCTCCATGACCTTAAAGTACTCATAATAGCCTAACACTCCTTAGAAGCTTCCTCGTCTCTCCAGCTCCGTTATCTTTCCCATTCCTCTTGCTCCCTGCGCCAGTAGTTGCCATACCTGCTAACACCCCCTCTCGCTGCTAAGGCAACTGCTTCAGCACTTACAAAAAAAATTCACCGTTAATTTACAAGAGCTGTTATCCTATACATCTGAAGTACGTATATTATCACCCCCAGTATGTTACCCACAACAGTCTACTAACGCCCAGGCACCTATTTTCTGCTAGGTAAACAGGAAGCATGTGTCTGGAGACTTGCCCGTAATTCTCACTCCAGGTGGGAGTGAGAATCTAACTTACTCGGCCTATCGTCTTTATTCTCTCAAAAGTTCTATACATTAAACAAGTTATAAAAGAGTGAGAGGCGAATTTGCAATTTCGCTGTCTTCACTGCCGTCTGCATTACCCAACTGACCAGATATTAAACAAAGGAAGCCTGGTCTGAGACCGGGCCTCGAGGGCGATGATCCAAGTAACCGTCGCTAAATATACTACAGGCTGTAACTGCCCTGCTATGAGGCCGGAATACAAGTGCAGCACATACAGTGCTGATAGACAGCAGTACTAGAAACTCGTACACTGCCACAAAAATTAACACAAAAACATTCCACTATTTGTGCATGCTTAAACCAAAGGGAACACATGATGTAATTTGAAACTCTTGTTACACATCTCGCCTCCAGAGTGGTCAGAGTTTACATTTGGGCTAACACCGCACAAATTCGTGCTAACGCACGAAGCTACCTCGGTAATTTTGTGGGTTTGGGCACTCTGAACATGTTACAACATGCTATGGGCTGCTGCTGAAATTGCCTGTTCAGTGTATCTCATGCTGACATCTTTGCTTATACATCAATATATCACACAAATGTTAGTGGAGGTCCTGCCTTCTGTCATGCCATCTTCAACCACACATCATTAATTCACAAGTAATGAATGGGATTTATTTTGTATGCCAGTAGTTGCATTAACTTGTTTTTTACCCCTAGTTACAGTAAACTGGTGTTGAAAATTTGAAGCTGGTCGGATTAGACATTCTCAGTTTGTGAAAACCTTGAAAGAAAAAAATTGTCAACCCTTTGGGGATACATAATTATTTTGTGCGCGCGTTCACGTAAATGAATTTTATTTAATGGAAATAAGAGTGCTTGCAATAATTAAGTGCTTAGAGCGCTGACTGATCTTTTAGTGCAAGCGTTCTTTAAACTTTTAACATCTTCCCATTCTCGTACCTCTCACTTGCTTATCCTTCGGTCCCTTTGGTCTCCAGCCCCATGTCATTCTAAAAAATGGAAAAAAGATTTTTTCAGGGGGAAATTCTTTTCTTTCATCAAATTCCACCGTGAATGCGCTAATAAAGACAACAATTCCTGCTGGTGTCAAAGCTGCTAGGCAGACTTGGTGCTGCTATTGTTGTTGTTGCTACTAATGCTGCTACCTGTGACTGGTTTCAAACGTTTTCTTACTCCCACAGCCTGGCCATGGACCAGGGCTGTCTGGTGCACATAATCACAACCTTGTTGGTTCGGCACTTGGCGGGGATATTGATAGTTTCCTCTTGATTACTTTTACCCTTGTCCTAGTTGCATTTCTGAAACCTTCTGTTAGAATGTTGAATAGTCAAGGCCCACGGACGTTGATAGTGTTCTCTTATTGTACCCATGGCGCGCTTGCTCCTGCCTTTCAGTAAATCTGTTTCACATTTCCTTCCATATCTCTCACCCCGGTACGTTGCTGTGATGAAGTACTGGGATCAGGCCCTTAGATATATTCGGTGTATATATTAGCATGCATCACTCTCTCCCTCCCTCTCCATATAGTACTAACCCTTGCTGTTAATGCTGTCGCTGCTTTTGCTGCGGCTGTTGCCACTGCAGATTTTATTTCAGTTTTGCCTACTGTTCATAATGCTGCTCTTCCTTCTCCTACTCAGGCTTCTGCTGCTCGCCCTCCTGTTACTCAGGCTTCTGCTGCTCGCTCTTGCTACTTAAGCCTCTGTTGTTCTTCATCCTGTTTTAGCAATGTTAAATCTCTCCTTTCTGCTGCTTCTCCTGCTGTATCTCAGACTGAGATAGTAGGTTAGACCAACCCTTGCTACCTGTTGTCCTTCTGTACATATTGATGTAGATGGCGAGACCTGCTGCTGCTATTGCTTCTGCTGAATGTGAGAGAAGGGATGGGGGGACTCGCCAAAGCTGCTGCACTTGGTTAACTTGGATAGATGTACAAACGGACACGTACAACTGGAAATTCATCAAAATGAACCGAAGCTGCAAATCTGATGAGAAACGTGGCTACTGTAACTCATTCCTGTTTAAAACATTAATATGAGAATAGTGAATTATGTGTAAATACCTTCCGCAAGGTTAGCTCAATAACTGCTTTAGGGGACCTTAAAAAATCACTTCAGACAGACACAAATGCAGTTGCCCATCTTCGCATCTGATCAAGCATATAACAGAACTGAAAATATCCAAAGGTTCGCAACGAGGCTCATACTGGAACTAAGAGAAAATGAACTACGAGGAGGGGGAACATGATGGCATGTAAAAATACTCAGTGGTATGTGGACAGGAACAAACTGAGACACGAAAAAAAGTGAATCAGTGAACAGTGATAGCAGGTAAAGACGCAGATGAGCCATAAGAATGTTTCGAAATAGTTT